CCCACACACACAAATATTCACGAACGCCGGCACACATACACATCATGTATACGCCCACGTGTTCACAACAAAAGACGCACAGTGTAGAGCAACAGTTTTTCTTTTTACTTGTTCTTAACAGCCACATTTCGTTTTTAAAAAGTAATCAGAAAAGAAGTAAAAATTGCAGGGAATTCAAGCAGTAACCCAACAGCATTACGCTCGCACACACTCTCCGCTACAGACAGACATACCTACACAAACATTCTGGGCCCTAGCCCATTCCAAGCGCACTTCCATTCAACATCCACCCACACGATCAACCATTCTTAGAACCGTCCTGCTTAAAGCCACCGGTACTGGCTGGCAGCAAAATCCACACCAAATCTCAGAGCCGATCTCTCCTCATCAGTATGCATAGCGTCCAGAGATTTATGCATGGGAATTCGGCACCAGGAATTACAATGCACGTTTCATTCAAAACAGCGTCACATCGCAGCACAGCTCGCCCTCGCACAGAGCATAAAAAGATGTCTACGTTTTATACTGTTTTTCCGCCCACAGACGTCTATAAAATATCATACGTGTATAATAAAACAGTAAAGAGTGGACAGAAAAAAAGAGAACGTATTTTGACGCAGAATCGCAGGAAATGGGTCAGTAAAAGGTTTGGCGGGCGATCTCCGCTGTCCCGAGAGAGAGAGAAAGAGAGAGAGAGAGAGAGAGAGAGAGAGAGAGAGAGAGAGAGAGAGAGAGAAACAAGGAAAGGGAGAGTGAGATTGGCAGACAGACAAATAGCAATTGCAAATAGTAGGTTGAGAGGAATGAAGAACGCCACAAGTTAAACAAAATTAAGTCCCTTTCGTTGCACCTGTGAGTGACACTGGGAAGTGGAAGGAAGTGGGTAAGGTGCAGGACGACAGTCGAGCAAGCATCACGAACACTCCAGACCGCAAAGATATTCTAATACATTATGTAACATGTAGTTACAGTTATTGTGGTTTCACATTTCTCTCAAATACACGCAGTTTCATATTTTTCTCAAATACACGCAGTTGTACGATTTATTCACACGGTGTAGCAAAATCTGTTGAGCTTGTTTTCCATACCAATCACAGTGACCTTCACGTTCTCGTGTACAGAGAAACAACATGTGGGCAGACAGACTTCATCACTGCACTCCAGCCGAGGTGGTGATATTATAGGTATATGTAGTTGCGCTTCGGCTCACACTGTCAACATTTATGCTCCCCCCCCCCCTCACCAGGGCAGTGCAGTAGAATTGTAAATGAGCTGATCAATGTCATGCTCATACTGTGTCGGAACAATATAGGGGGAACTGCAGCTTTTTCTTTCCTCATCCTTACTGTAATTTTGCCCCCACTTCTTTTGTATGTTTATCACTCTCTTGAAAAGTGCTATTTCCGGTGTGCCTTGATAGTCGAAGCAGACTTTGAGCTGTTGAGGCTAGAGAAGTGAGCAGGTAAGCCTGATTCCCCGTTTGGACTTCTCTGTTGACATCCACTCCTTGGCGCTCATATGACCGTATGTAGTTGCGAGCGCCGCAAAACCTTACTGAAACAAAACAACAGTTATGGTGACACTACACGTCATAACGCCCCGATTTCTACGGATACATCCAAACAATCAAAACTAAAACGACCAAAAACAAAAGACCCCGAAGTAACCATCTGTGGTGCGCTGAGGCTGCTCAGTTCTCTTACGTGCTGCTCACCTCTCTTACGTGCACCCCCCCCCCCCCCCCAATGTAAAAAAGTTCAAAAAGTTTTACCGCACTTGCAACACAATTAGGACGATTAGGTCATATAAGTGCCGAAGATTTGAGGTGCTACTAACTAGATACAATGTAGTAACATTCAAATACAAGAAGGAAGAGAGATAAGGACGACTGTTGTTTGAAAGGACAGAAAGAGCAAAACACAACAGGGCATCCGCGAACCACCCACTCGCAGAGACCATCAATGATTTATTTATAGAGGCACCAGCCATCCATGTCCAGGTGCTGTTTTAGCCTCACTCGCAGAGAGTAAAAAAAAAAAAAGCAAAAACAAAAGACCACCCAGTAACTACCCGCGGTGCTCGGACACCGAACAGTTCTCTTAGGGGCATAGTATTGAATGTTACGTTCCCATCGATACAGTTTTGATCACCGAGGAGGCGGCTTGCTTCAGCCCCGCTCATCAGGGCCAACAACCCGGGGGCTGCTCGGAAAACAGCGTCTCACCAGGCAGGTAGAGATATTCGTTAAAATAACTGCCAGCGCAAGACGAGGATTGAACTCATCTTCAGCGTGAACCGGCAAGGCGCGTACAGCATAAGACTATGTATCCTTAGGCGCGACGCGACGTTAGACGCGCATAAGGAGACAGCAC